ACGTACGTACGTACGTACGTACGTACGTACGTATAACTAATAACTAACGTAACTAACTAATAACTACGTACGTACGTAGTAGTAGTAGAGAGAGAGAGAGAGAGAGAGAGAGAGAGAGAGAGAGTCAACTTCCAATGTTTCTTTTCTAACAATTGTAACAGAAACCAAAATTGATGGATCAAAAGTTCCTTGGTTCACCAACTTGGACCATAGAGTGGACTCGATAAGGCACATAATCAAGTCAAACCCCAGATGCGAGCAAGTTGGTCAGGGAGTGATAAAGGGGATAACTTCTCCTTCGAAGAGAAAAGACGTGACTTCTGACTATGAGTACGCTAATTGTCACCACTCACCACAAGAACTCCAAATCTTATAGAGTAATCATAAAAAGGCAGAACAGATACTTAAGTATGAGATAGTTTCAACTTTGTGACTTTTTTTTTGTTTTGAGAATGAATTTCAACTCCCTGAATTAAAACAGCAAATAAGGATAATTGATTGTATTTTTGAAATGCTATATTTATTTGTATTTCATGCATGGTAGAAACTATGAACCAACATCAGAAACATGTATAAGCCGTCAAACTGCTAAAAAATGAAGAGTAACTCACCATATGCCTCTGAAGCTGTTCTTTGCGCTTCATGAAATTCAGGCAAAACTCACAAAAGTACAGCTTCAAAGAATCACTGTATTCTGGTGGAAAAGGCGAAAAGTACCATGTCTCAATCTCATATCTTCCAAGTTCTATAGTTGCAATGTTTTTAACTTTCGTGAATTCTTCATGTTCTCGCAAGCTTGCAGCATCAAGCTCCTCGTGGCCCTGGCTTAACAAAAGAAAAAAATCCCTGAGGTTAGTGGAAAAAGTCCAAGCAAAATAAACAAATGATACATACTTTCACAATTTGACATTTGCCCTCAACCATGTGTGTGGTAGGCCAAATGCAGAACATCAATTATGCCAACTATGGAGCAACCAAAAGAACCACTTTAAAATTCAGAAGAGATCAAATACATGTGTGAAAGAGAGGTGGATATTCCAAACTCATAAAACAAAACAAACTCCTGGCCGCAGCCCCAACAGCATCTAATTTAAAAAAAAAAAAGATAAAAGAATAACAATAAACTTAAAAAAGCCTCCCCCCCCCCCCCCCCCCCCCTTCCATTTTTCAGATCTGGGCAAGAGAATGAACCTATCCTTTACATATGAAGTAAAAGAAATTTATCCACAGGTATAAATAGTTTCTGTTTAAGTATATGCTGTTGTTATTCTAAGTTACATTTTTAAGAAGTACTATTTGCTACCTAATTTAAAACATTTTAAGGCAAGTAAAACATTTTAAGGCAAGGACACTAAGTTAAAGACATCTTACAAGTCTAGACAACACTTGAGTTTAGCTATATGTAGTGTTTCAAAAAGCGCTAGGCGGCACCTAGGTGGTCGGGGGGATCCAGGCCGCCTAGCACCTAGGCGGGAGCCCAAAACCTGGGCGATCCAGTAGAAATGTTTTTTTTTTGGGGGGTTTTCTCTATCTAAAATAGCCTCTAATGGGTTTTAGGTTTCAAAAGAACCAAAACCCACAATTTTGCCCCTTTAATATTAAAACAATGACCCAAAAATACCCTCAAGGAGCTGCATTTCCACCCCTGGGCAAGGCGCAGGCCATGGGCGGCCGCCTAGGAGGGTTCAAGCGGGCGCCTAGGCGGGCGCCCAGGGATATCTGCCTAATTTGGCATCACAATATTCTTTTAGTGCTCATTGCTCATAGAATATGCATTGGCACACTACTCCCCATATGTTAGACCAAATCTTAGTCATTTATAACTTTTCTCATTAACATTATTTCATTAATGCATAACTCCAAAGTGAAGGGAGATGCAACAAATTCTGTTGAAATGCAAATAATATAGGAGCATATAAGACCAAAGTCACATTGTTGACAACAACGTCAATGACATCGTTAACCTCTCTAAGAAGAGGGGGCAAAGAGATGGTTCATAGTCACTAATGTCCTAGCTCTCATTCATTACGTCCACAACCCCCCATTGACAAGGACCTTCAAAAAAGAATTTTCCACAGCTTCTATAAACAATTCATTCGAGAAGACCTTAGGTACTCTCGCATGCCCATAACAGAAGATGACGCCCATGCCTAAGGACCTTGGTGCCCTAAGCAATTAAAGTTACGATTAAATGCTCCCTAGTACGGGTATGACCTACTGACTCTATGTTTCGACATTTAATACCATTGAAAACCACTATTTTCCATTCTCAAATAAAGTTGCCGACTCTAATTCATAGAATTCCAGAAAACTAGGGCTCAGAATACAAGAGAATCCTTAATCTTCCTTAGTGACCTATAACAATTGTTTATGCATCTTTTTTATGGAGGTATAATACATAATACCCACAGCAAAAAGCATAAAATAAAAGACATAAGCCCAGGAGTTAAACTCAGCAACAATTCCTACAACATCATATTTCCATATACACTACTACATCATACAAGGTCAATAATTAAAGGACATGGAGAAAAATACAAATTCTTTTATACTAAAACTTTCCATGAAAATGAAGTTTATGGAAACTAGATACAAGGGTAAAGTCACTACAGAGGATTGCATCATGATAAACAAGAAAAAAGAAACATATGACAAGTTGAATATACCTCCACATGTGTCTCGTCAATTTTCCTTTTCTGATGACGTGTCATTTTCAAGCTTGCGGCCTAGAAAGAAAATCCCAGTAAATATTCTTTTTAAGTTAGAGGTACAACCTCTCCAAATAAATATATCTGAGAAAAAAGCAGGAGAAGGATACCATGTGCACAACATTTCTAGTGAACCCATTCACACACCCCCATCCAACGTTAGTCCTCAATGACGGAAGGTGGATGCTGGTGCATGTACTGGTATACTATATACAACGTGTGTATGGTATGATTGCTCCATTAATGCATCCTTTTAGTCAGAGAACCAATTCTAATCAGTAATAACAAAGAAGGCTAAAAACCCATCCAATTTCAAGCTATAATCAGAACAATGAGGCAATGATTATCCATCCAGATCCCATTTCATACAACATGCACCCCAAGCTTACACAAAAGTTAAGAACTTAAAACAATGTGCATCAAACTCCCATGTGATGTATCTCATGTAACTAGGAATTTTTTCTGTTAAACAGTGAAAATGTAACTATTGAAAGCTTACCAATTCAAATTTCAACACCATGACATTGATACATGAAAACTAACATCGAACCAATTCTATACCTTGTCTTCCACTTTCTCATCGACATCAGCCTCCACTGAATCCAGATCAAGTTGCTCAAGTTTAACCCATTCATCAAGCCTTCTATTAACTGCACAAATAAATAAATAAGAAACACATAATGATATCAAATATAACAAGAATAACGAAAGAGGGAAGTTCAAAAGTGGGGAATGTTAAAATCTCACATAGTTGACAAAAGAAAAAACTATTGGTGAAGATTCATAGTATTTCGCAAGTTGTACAGTAGTGAAAATGATGGCATCTCTCAAAGAAACTTATTCTAATAAATTCTTCTTTAATTTTTAGCATTAAATACTCCGACATTGCTTGTCCCAAATCTGCATGAGAAAGGAGGAGGGTTGAGTTAGGTTTGCAACTAGTGGAAAAAAGTTCCCATATATCCTTATCATGGATCCTGATCCAACGTCATATGCTCACACTAGGGCATTCCCTGTAAGCGACGTGCAGTACCGACACTCGGATGCAGTGAGGAATGCGCAAGTGATAGCGTCGCTCCCTGCAAGTGATGCACCGCAATGACACCCAGTTGTAATAATAAGTAGGCAATGGTCCCCGTGATATTTTGGACGAGTGTAGGTAAAGAAGCTAGTCCAAGAGAATAGGATTCGTCTACTCACATCAAATGTAGGAACTCCATCAGGTAAATGCATAGAGTTAGTGGATACAATAAGAAGAAGGAGAGTTTAACACAATTGTTTACATGACACTAAGTAGAAATGAGTAAAAGCTAAAGAAATTGATGGATATAAACTTTGATATATAGGAAAGGAAAATAATAGAAATGATGTAGGTATAATGGTATACAAAGATTCAAAGAATACAGTAAATGTTAAGAGAGTAGGTGATAGGCTCTTAATAACTAAGCTTGTGTGGGGAGAGGAGATAATTAATGTAATTAGTGTTTATGTTGTTTATGCACCACATATAGGATTAGAGGAAAGAATTCAAAGACAATTATGAGAGGATATGGATGGATCAGTCCAAGAAATACCAAATAGACAGGGGACATTTTTAAGAGGGACTTAAATGGTCATGCAGGAAAAGATTGTACATGATAAGAAAGGGTAAATGAAGGATATGGATTTGGGGAAAGAAATGAGATGGGTGATAGGTGATGTTAATCTTGATTTTTTATTTTTTTGATGAAGATGTTATTCTAGGTTTTGTTATGGCTTATGATCCAACAGTAGCAGATACCTACTTTTTAAAGCGAGATAAACATTGAATATCTTATAAAAGTGGATCATATATAGACTTTTCTCTAGTTAAGAAGACAGAACGATCATCATAAAGACTGTATGGTTATCCCAAGAGAAAGTTTGACTACGCAACATAGGCTCATGGTTATGAATGTTTGCATAAAGAGAAGGAAGAGAAAGAGTGACATTAAAAGCTATCCAAGAACTACGTAATGGAACTTAAAAGGGAGAAAATAAACTTAATTAGAGATAAATTGATGGAAGGAAAATATTATGTGAAATGAGATGGTTGACTTTAGTATGAAAGTGGCAAAAGAAGTTTTAGGAGAATCTATAGGAAAAGACTTTCAGTTAAGGAAACTTGGTGGTGGAATGATGAAGTTCAAAAGGTTATTAGCAAAACACAATCATGTTACAAAGCTTGGCAAGGGAATAGTAGTGATCAGAATTTAGAAGAATATAGATATGCCAAGTGGAATGCTAAGAAAATAGTAAATAAGGCTGAGATTAAGGCATATAATAATTATATAATAAATTGGGAACAAGAGAAAATGAAAAAGATGTCTTCCAACAGCAAAAATGAGAAAAAGGAAGTGTTGGGACCCAGATCATGTTCAATAATACATTAAGAGTGAGGATCAAAGGGTGTTAGTGAAGGCTTACGAAGTCAATGAAAGGTGGATAATCTATTTTCAGAAATTTTTAAACGACAACCACTCTAGGTGCTCAGCGTAAGGAGGATAATTTGATAGAGTACATATAGAGAGAAGTTGGTGGGTGCCAGAAGCGAATGGAGTCTCAATGGGATATATTGACATGGTTAGGGATATGTATGATAGAGTAGTAATTAATGTGAGGACAACTATTCGAGAGACAAGTAAGTTTTCAAAGAAAGTAGGCCTACATCAGGAATTAATTTTGAGCTCATATCTCTTTGCTTTGGTTATGGACGAGTTTACTAGGCATCTACATGGTAAGATCTCCTAGTGTATGTTGCTTGTGGGTGACACTGTTTTTGATTGATGAGACTAGAGACAGTGTAAACGCAAATTAGAAAAGTGGGATGCTTTAGAATCTAAAGGTATAAACTTAGCTAGACTAAGAAATAACAAATGGAATGCAAGTATAGTAATCATCGGAGCAGAAATGAGGAATTTGTTAAGATTGATAGCAAGAAATACCCAAAAGATATTATTTTCAATATCTTGGGTTGATAATCCACGAGAAAAGCGAGAATAAAGAAGATGTTACCCATAGAATTAGAGCTAGGTGGATGAAGTGGAGATGTCCTTCTTGAGTCTTATGTGATTGTCGCGTACCAATCAAACTGAAGGGAAAGTTCTGTAGGACGGCTGTAACACCAGCTATGCTTTATAGAACAGAATGTTGGGCAGTCAAGAAACAACATATCCATGAAATGAGTGCAATTGAGATGAGGATGTTGAGATGGATGAGTGGCAAGGCAAGAAATAATAGAATTCGGAATGAATACATTCCAAGGAACTTAGGTGTAGCCCCAATAGGAGATAAAATGAGGGAAAGTAGACTCGGGTGGTCTAGTCACGTGCAACATCAACCTAGAACAACACCGGTCAAGATGGGTGATTTGGTTCAAGTAGAAAGCTCTAAAAGGGCAAGGGGGAGGTCCCAAGAGACATGGATGGAAGTACTGAGAAAAGATGTGGTCACTTATGGTCTGGGATAGGAATATAGCCATTGATAGAGCGGAATTGCGGAACATGATTCATGTAGCTAACCCCAAATAGTTGGGATAAGGCTAAGATGATGAAATATATAACACACAGCCCCAAGGTCCGGACTTATTATTTTTCTAAAACCAATTTATAAACCATGTTACAAGTGGAAATCCTATTTTCAAATGTTCAAATAGGTAAACTTGTTCAACATAAATTTCAATAAAGAAAATCTCTCCAAGCTAAATATACATCTTAGCTAACTATGTACATCCATTAATGGGTGTGGTTTCTATAAGGTTGCAACCTTAAACAATCCAATTAAGGTGCACCTTTATCATAACATGTGATTTTAGTATAAAAAATTCTTAGGACTATCTCAAATCTATTTTCGTATATAATTATAAAATTTTAAACTCCAAATATGGTTAAAATCAAGTAGATCTATAAGCATATGAAAATTTTGAAAATGGACGGTCTAGATAATGTGTTGCAAGATGCACTATTTTTGAGATTCAAAATATTTTCGCTTTTTCATATTCATACATCTTGATGTCGAGATGATCAATTAGAGGGCTTTTCAACATTAAAACAACCTTTTCGATGGATTTTTGAGGTGCAACTTTAATTCTACATTTTAAGGTTGCAACCTTAAATAAACTTTTTCCTTCATTAATATTCATCTATTTCCCCTTTCACTAAATCCAAGAGTGAATCGAAGATTTTAAAGGCTACAAGCCCAATGCCAATGGCACATATACATGAATGCTAAAAGAACCCATTATTCCAAATTCTCACGTCCTATCATCCACTCTAATCCCTAATTCCGGATTGTTTCCAATTGCAACCCTTGTTCTTCATAATCATACTAAAAACTAAAACAATTGAAAAGATGGAGCTAATTCTTATCCTCCTTGAACCCTTATCCAAGATTCTTCACCATAGTAACCCTAATTCTTAAGGATTCCGCTAAGAATGTACTTTAATTGAAATAACAAAGAGGGAAGCAATAATTCAACAAACAACAAAACTAAATACACGAGCATTTCCTGAATGAAATTCAGAATGAAGAATACACGAGCATTTCCTGAATGAAATTCAGAATGAAGTATACACGAGCATTTCCTGAATGAAATTCAGAATCAAGTTATTCAATAGATGGAAAAAAATAATGTAAAAATGCCATAAACAGGGGAAAAATTGAACCTTACATTCTACATAGTGAACATAGTACTCGTAGTCATTAGGGCCGCCATTGTTGAGCTTCCTGCGCTCAATGACCTTAACAGAATGGTACTTGTTATCTCGCCACTTGCACATGACCCTAGTTCCCACCTCCAATGGCAAAATTCCAGGCTTAATCTTCCTTGAAAGCCCCTTTTCTGGTGGGGTTTCAACCAATGCAAAGGATGAATCTCCACCGCCCACTCCATTGCATGGAGGGAGATCCATGGGCTCCCCGTTTTCCGTCGTGTTCTCCAACGAACCCATCAAGAGAGACTACAACAGTTTCCCAGAAAAGCTTTTTATAAAGCTTTGATGGAGTTCTTTCTTCTAGTTTTGCTTTCGGGTTTCCTTATCTTCTCCTTCTGTGGAAGTGCGTACCGTGTTTTGAGACCGAGAAATAGGGTTTCTGGTTTCTCAGTTCATAGAATTAGGGTTTGTGGCATTTCGGATCGAGAATTAGGTTTTCTGGTTCGTAGAGGGGCGTGGGCCCGCGTCCAAGGGACCGAAGAATTTTAGAGGGATTTTTAGTTTACCGGGCGAGGATTTTGATGCGGTACACAAATGTAGTATTAATGAGAAAAGGCTAAAAATAAATTAAATGTGTTCACTGTTTCACATAAAAACTCACCAAAATTTATAGTTTAGTTTTGGGTTCGAAAAACCTTTGAATCGATCATTTCAACTCTAATCATTGCGCTTGTGAAAACACCTAGATTTCAAATCATAAAAATAATATATAATAAAACAATAAAACATATTATCTAAACCTCTATTTATAAGTATTTACATATCCTTAAGGTTTGTACCTACAACATTCATAATTGGCCGTAGAAATTGATTTTAGAGTGACCACATAGATTTTCCATTCCCAGTTTTTTTCAAACGAACTTTCGAGGTGAGACTTTACTCTCTCTTTTTTCATGAGGCTAAGTCCTTATAAAAACTGCATCCATAATAATATGAATGCGATTAGCATGCGGCCAAATCCACATATGTAAAAATATGACCTTGGCAATAAATATATTTTTTAAATATAATTTGATCTTAATTTTTTTTAATATAGAGATCATGAATATAAAAATAAATCTAATAATTATATTAATAAAATATTTGGACCGTTGCAATTGTATTTAGATGGACCGCCTATTTGAATCCATCTTTTAAATGAGATAGATGCTTTATACCTCTGGACGGCATATTGTACAAATGTGGTCCGTGGTCCAGCCTACATGAAACAATTGTTCTAATAATATTGGTCTTAAGCTTTACTTAAGTTTTTTTAAAGGGTGTGGTTCATGTAAGGCTGAGTCCCTAATCGATCAAGGTAACGCGCACCTATAATTCATATTGTGACATGTTGTTTCAGTGTCATAAATATTTGTAATGGCCTAAAATTTATTTTCATTTCTAATTATAAAATTCAAATATCAAAAATAGCGTAGATCGAGCAGATTTATGAACACTTTGAAATCTTGAAAATTAATGGTTTAGATACTATATTATAATATGCATTATTTCCAAAACTTGAAATCTATTTTTCTCATATATGTACATCTTGAGATCGAGATGATTGAGTTGAGGGTTTTTCAGCATCAAAACAATCTCTTCTAGTGAATTGTTGAGGTATGCCTAATTTGATTGTTTAGGACATCACCCGTGTATAAACTTTTTCCTTGACACTCTATTAACCAGTTTTAATGAAAATGGCGCAAGGGGTTGGCAAGGGCTGTGGAGAGAGAGAGAGATGATATATTTGGTGATTTTAGAAGAGAAATTCACGCCATGTCTTTTAAATATTGTTATTATAATTTTTTTTTGATAAATTAATGAGCTATTTAACATTTAACCTTGATTTGATTTTGAAATACCCATCAAAAGATACATGATGGAGTGCATCTTTCATTAATATTTTGATAAATTTCCTATTAATTAAATTTTTTATATTTTATCCTCTTATTTTATTTTTAATTTTTTTTAAATACCCCAACTTCAATGATCCTTCAATATTTTATTTTATTTTTTCCTGGTGGGGAGGGCCCAATTCGCCCCTCTATTGGGTAGGAATCGAGCCTGAGAATTCTAAATACCCCAACTTCGAACTTTGAAAATTCAAAATGACAACGAAATTTTTAAATTTTAGCATTTTAGATCTTGCAAGTTTTAAGTTAATGAAATATTTACACTTCAAAACTTTAATATCTGAAGCACTTCACACTTTGGACCTTGGTTTGAAGAAAGAGCCTTTAGGTTCGAATCAACACTAGGAATCTACTACTTTGGCCCATGGCCTCACAGCCCTACTTATCTGTGCCATTCCATAAGATATTATTTCTTTTTTATTTTTTGAATCCAATCAATATCAAGCAATTTCATAAACAAATTACACATTCTAGCCAAATCATCCAAGAATTTTAGATGAACAAAACGTGATCAAACATCTCTTAAAACAGATGTTAAATTTGCTTGAACATAAAGTCTAGGTTTGTGTTTTTGGTGAAGACAAATATGCATGGTAAAATTAATCGATGTACAATTGAAGTCGAGAAATATGGAGGAATTATATTTATAAAAATTTCACAATAGAGGCACAAGAGACAAAATAGAAAAAGAATTATCAAATAGAAATTAGCAACACGAATATGGTGATTTGCTCTAAAGGTGGAAATAATTAGATTTGGTGATAACTGAAATCAACGTGTGTATTTCCTTAAACGATAAAGGCCAGTGCTATATTTGGATAAAAGGAAAAAAGGGCTTTCTCAAATGTAAGGAACAAGCCCCATTGATTGCTATGTAAAGGGTCAATTAGACATAATATTTATCTTTTTAAGGGCCACCACCTTAGGGTTAAAGAAATTATAGGGGGAGAGAGAGAGAAATATGACCTAAAAAAGAGAGGTGGTATTCATATATGTTTTGGGCAATACTAATTTCTATTTTTAGAGAGATCTTAGTTGCTCTCAATATCATGTTTTTTTTTTTTATGTATAGAGAGGCTAAAAAAAATAATGAATCAGAAAAATACAAAAAAATATAAATAGATTGGATATTACACCCCAAAAGATCTCTTCATAAGATCCAAAAACAAACTCTTTTCTCTTCACTCTCCCACATTTCTCTCTCTTTATCTCATATAGATTTTCTCTATTCCAAACTCACATAAATCCCATAATTCCCTCTACCTTGTCTTACCTATTTTATCTTTCTACTTTCCTAACCACTTTATGTTTTAAAATAAAGTAACCTTTTAAATTCTATCCATAAAATCTCTACAAATAATAAAGATAAAACTAACCCTAATAAAATATAAAACAAAAAAAATCCTAAAAATATAAAAATAATAAAATAAAATAAATATATTAGATCATCTTCCCAACGCTGGGAAAAGGTCAACCTTGCACTTCCTAAATTTATCATATCCTCCAAAGACCGTTTCAATAATTGGTGATGGAGTCATACAATTTGCTAGGTACTTCATATTCTTCAATGAAATAATTGATCTGACACTTGATATCTAAATTATAATAGATATTTGAAATACTCAACTTAATCTTGATTTCTCGTTCGACGTCAAAGGATAGTATGTCACACACTGGAATCAATGTATCTTCTTCTTCATAAGTGGTTGTCGAAATTCATAGCACTTTTGGGTTGTCAACATCTCTTGTACTAAGATTTTATCGCTTTATACTCTTCTTCATCTTGTTGCCATCTATCAAGTCGACAATGTAACACTTGCTGCATTATTTTGTGAAGGCCTTCTATCAAGTATTGTTTGGCTTTCTTAATTATTTGATCCGCACGCTCCATAATTGGATCAATAGTTATTTGTGAAGGCATTATTATATGCATCTCAAGGCTCTGATATCAACTGATGTAGATAGAAGCTCTACTATTCAACTGATGCATGGAGATAAAGAAAGAAAAAAAAAAAAGAAAAAAAAGAATGAGAGAATATACCATTTATCAGAGTATGCAAGGGACCCGAAAAGATCTCTTCACAAGATCTAAAAACAAACTCTTTTATCTTCACTCTCTCCTCTTTCTCTTCATCTCAGGTGAATCCATATCTTCTTCTCTATCCTAACCTTGTATAAATCCCATAAATTTCTCAAATCCTTGTCTTACCTATTTTCTCTCTTTGATTTCATAACCACTTAATCTTATTTTTTAAAAAAATTAAATTTTCAATTCTACCCTTAAAATACAACCAACAAAGACAAAAAGTAATTCTTAAAAATAGAACCGGAAAGGAATTGTCTGCGAAGAGACTATTTATCTATTGTATATACAAGTCACAATCATTCCTACTCACTAGATGTCAAATTGGATGGATTGGGTGAGCCATGAAGTCCGAAGAATGTTTTCTGTCTCTATTCAATGACGCTATTATAACCATCCATTTTGAAATTGAAAGGGCAAGAATGATTGTGACTCCTATGTGCAAAAGATAAATGATTTCTTATAGACTATCCTAACATAAAATAACCTCAAATCTAAAATTTTAAAATAATAAAGTAAAAGAAATCATTGCATCATTTTTATAGCAATTGTGGAACGAAAAAGAGGATGTTGACCGGTGGTGTTGTCAGGATGGAAGAGCGGCTCTAGAGGTGAAGATCCGCGACGGTTTTAATGATGTTCGGAATGTATACCTCTTGTAACCCAAAATTGTAATATTTTTTGAGACATCGGAAAAACTATACTTACCAAGACTATCAACGTAGTGTATTCAAGGTGAACCAAGTAAATTGCGTATCTTTTTGACGTTGTGTTCAGCTTTTTCTTACCTACTATATACACAATCTTGGATGGGATCCCAACATTCTAATTTTATGCGTGAGGGGGGTTCTTGAGGACCCTTCAATCCTAGCCTAGCCAGTTCAGCATAATGAACTAGCTGGTTTTCTTGCCGGACTTAACCCAGCCCTAAGTGTTGGTGAGTTAGTTAGGTCTAGCTAAGTCCAACAGTTTCCTTACTTTTTCATTCAATATATACATGTTCGTTTGTATATGTTTTTCTTTCATTTCCAGATTTCATTAGGGGGTCTTTCAGCCCTAAATTAGCTCTAGGTGCCTTTTAGTTCTTGAAGATTCAGCTGAATTTTGTGATTGAAAGAATACGATTTTCAAACTTTTCAGTTTTACGCCTTCTTCTCAGCTGAGAAATAACACCACAAGAATTTTGGCGAGTGTTATGTTTTAGGGTCTTTGGCTTGATCTTCAATGGCTATTTGCCTTTTACATTGTTTGTTTTTCGTAAATAAATTTGATCGTTTGTAGGGGAGGCAATGGTCTGGACCTAACATCTGGACCCAACTTGGGTTCGGGTATGGGTCCAAGAATTGGACCTTGCGGGTCGGGTTATGGACCTGACCTGAATAGTGTTATTATATAAATAATATTAAATCTTTAATATTTTTAATAATATTTAAATAAATATAACTATATATTTTGTTATAATATTTAAATAATGAAAAAGTATAGGATGGGACCGATTACCTTTGGTATAGAGTGATCACATTAATCTTGACCTTTAGATGTG